GAGAGAGAGAGAGAAAGAGAGAGGGAGAGAGAGAAGGAGAGGAGAGAGAGAGGGAGGGAGAGAGAGAGGAGACCCAAATGTCCTCAGTGGTGGGGCTGGGCTGGGGGTGATGCTCAAAGCCTGGAACTCCACACAGGTGTCCCCAGTGGATGCCAACCACCGGCCATCGCTGCTGTCTCCCAGGACCTGCGCTAGAATCAGGATCCAGAGCCAAGAGTTGAGTCCAGGTGCTGCCATGTGGGCTGTGGGTGTGCCATCCTGCATGCTACTGCTGAGCTAAATGCCACCCACGCCTTGCACTTTTCAATGTAGAGATGCAGTGTTTCCGGGAAAACCCACGCGAGCACCCATGACCATGGATGCAGCTCTCTCGTCCCCAAGATGACTTTTTGTGCTTTTATTTTGGGCGTGTAGAATAAAACCCGTGCTTCTCACTTCATGGAAATATCTGGTGAGGGCAGCCATCTGGGGAAGAGACCGGCGCCAGGATCCCAAGGCTGACCTCAAGTCCCAGACATCACAAGGACTTACATCTAGAGCCTTGGGGGTTTGGCTCTGGGCTTGAATTTCACGGTTTGGGGTGAAGAGTGGACACTCCTCTTCCAGCCTGGCTGGGAGGCCTTGCAACAGCAGAGGTCCAGCTGTGGAGGGTTTGGGCTCACACCCAGGTGTAACGGAGAGACACAGTCAGTGAGTCGGCCACCAGGAGGACGAGGTCAGGCCTGGCAAGGGCCGGCTCGGGCGGGACTGCACTGTGTGTGGGAAGTCGGGCCACAGGCTCTCACTTCGTTGGTCCGAGTTCCCCAGTTGCTGAAGCAGATGAGAGGGAGAGAGGGAAAGAGAGAGAGAGTGTGAGAGGCGGACCCTTAGGAGCTGGCTCTCTGGACAGCAGCTGCGGTGAGGCAGGAGGTGGGGCCTTGGAGGGCTGGGAGGCCTGGGACGCCGAGCTGCGGCTTAGCTTGGCCAGGAAGCCCCTGTGTCTCTTCTCAACTGTGCCCGAAGAGCACGAGAGTCGGCCTCCGTGCATGGATAGAGCCGCTGGGGCCCCCGCCTCCCGCCCCTCTGTCTCGGCGGAGGACTGACCGTTGGTAGGTTCTTAAGGAAGTCAGAACTCAGGATCCGGACTCCCTGTCAGTCTTGTGGGATCATTAGCCATCAGCAGTCAGCTGGAACTCAGCAGTTTCTCGTCATTTTGTTGCCCGATACACTGCAACAGGCAGTGTTAATCAGGTTGCCTTAGCGGGTGATAATCATTATTAATAAAATATTAATGCACTGATTTATTGGGAAACTCAATGAATGACACGTTTTATCTTAGACATCACGTGTAATGACTCTAGCTATTGCATTCTTGAGGGAGTAACATGAGTGACGGGTGGAAAGTTCCAGAGGTTTAAGCCGATTCCGTCAAGCCTGTCCTGATGCCTCCTTGAGGCTGTGGAAGACTTCTCTGGGTCATCAAAGCCATGTTCCCTGTGGTTCCCACGGCTTCCTGGAACCACGTGTGCTGCAGGGCTCACGGCTAAACCCCAGCTCCTGCTCTGTGTCTCCCTCCACAGCCGGCCTCATAGATGGCGTTAACTCAGAGTTTCAGAGGGGCTCGCTTGTGCTTGCCCCTTCGCCTGTCTTCCAGGGCCTCTGCTGTCCGGATCTGGTTGTCATCCGTCTCTCGGTCTGTGGTTCTCGGCTCCCACCCGCAGCCGCGTCTCTCCTGCCGGCTCCTCTCCAGGTGATCCCAGAGCTCTGCTCGGGGCTGGGCCGAGGCATTGGACAGACCCTGCGGGGGAGGCGGGAGGTTGTCCCGCACAGCCTCGGCTCCTTGTCTCAGCACACTGCTCCTCCGCCTTTCTTACTACTGCACTGAGCAAACCACTCGGAAATTCATGAAAGGGCGTGGGCGTTTGCGAGTGGTTAGAACGCCTGGGTCTGAGTTCTGGCTCTCCTGACCGTGGCTTTCTGCTCATGCAAACTGGGGCAGGCACTGGTGACGACTCAGGTACCTGGATCCCTGCCACCCACGTGGGAGACGTGGAGTGAGTTCCCAGCTCCTGGCCCTTGGCCGCTCCTGGCACTGTGGGCCTTGGGAAATGAATAGTGGTGCTTCCCCCCTCCCCACCCGCCCAGCTTCCTCCATCTCTCAAAAAAATTAAAACAAATAAACAAACATTTAAAAATGCTTTAAGGTTCTGATGAGGTCATGGAAGTGTAAAAAAGCAAGCTCCACGGTTCTTGGGGTGCCCAGGGCTGCTTCTCCCACCCCCACTGGTGCCCCCCCCCCCCGGGCTCCCAGCGTCATAAGCGAGCGGGTGCCCCTGACCCCAATATCCCACTACTTTCTTCTTAGAATTTCCAGCTCATTTTCGGCGCGGGGTTGAATGACCCTTCACCCTGCATTTATTTTTTTAACGATTTAATTGTTGATTTAATTTTGCTAACAGCTGTTTGTTATTGCATCTTTACGACCGACCCGGAGAGCTGCTCACATCCTCGTGCTATCTGCGGGGACACTCCCTACCTGAGGGCTAAGTTTGCAGTTGCCCCCTACCATTCCGCCGGAAGGCAGGAGCCAGGGAGCTTCCTCCTCCCCCTCCCCACATGGGTACTGGGGCCCCCACCCCCGAGGTCATCTTCTACTGCTTGTCACAGGCAAAAGA